GTTTATTTATATAGCACCTTTCAACACAAGGCAATTCAAAGTGCTTTACAAAAATGGAAGACATTATGAAAATGGCATTTAAAATCAGTCATTAAAAAGAAAAGATAATAAAATAAACATTAAAAGAAAAAATACATGGATAAAAGTTAAAAGTTACAGTGCAGTTTAAGATGTGAATAGTTCAATTAAAAGCAGCGGCAAAAAGAAAAGTCTTCAGCCTGGATTTAAAAGTAGTAAGAGTTGCAGCGGACCTGCAGGTTTCTGGGAGTTTGTTCCAGATATTTGGAGCATAATAACTGAATGCTGCTTCTCCATGTTTAGTTCTGACTCTGGGGACAGAAAGCTGACCAGTCCCTGAAGACCTGAGAGATCTGGATGGTTCATAATTTAGCAGTAGGTCAGACATGTATTTTGGGCCTAAACCATTCAAAGCTTTATAAACCAGCAGCAGTATTTTGAAATCTATTCTTTGACACACAGGAAGCCAGTGTAAGGACTTCAGAACAGGAGTGATGTGATCCACTTTCTTAGTGTTAGTGAGGACTCGAGCAGCGGCGTTCTGAATTACCTGCAGCTTTCTAATAGATTTTTTAGTGAGACCTGTAATAACACCATTACAGTAGTCGAGTCTACTGAAGATAAAAGCATGGACAAGTTTTTCCAAATCCTGCTGCGACATTAGTCTTTTAATCCTAGATATGTTCTTTAGGTGATAGTAGGCTGATTTAGTAACTGTTTTAATGTGACTGTTGAAATTCAGGTCAGAGTCCATGACTACACCTAGATTTCTGGCTTTATCTGTTGTTTTGAACATTGCAGACTGAAGCTCAGCGCTAACTTTTATACGTTCTGCCTTGGCTCCAAAAACCATTACCTCAGTTTTATTTTTGTTTAATTGGAAAGTGGAGAAAGTTCTGACACATCCAGTCATTGATTTGTTCAATGCACTTACTCAGTGTTTGAATTGGAGCATAATCTCCTGGTGAAATTGTTACGTAAATTTGTGTGTCATCCGCATAGCTATGGTAACTTATTTTGTTGTTTTTCATTATCTGAGCCAGTGGTAGCATGTAGATGTTAAAGAGAAGAGGCCCCAAGATGGAGCCTTGAGGTACCCCACATGTCATATTTGTCAACTCAGATGTGTATTTACCTATAGAAACAAAGTTTTTTCTGTCCTTTAAGTAGGACTCAAACCAATTTAGAACTGTTGCCGAAAGTCCCACCCAGTTTTCTAGTCGGTCTAGTAATATGTTGTGGTCAACAGTGTCAAACGCAGCACTGAGATCTAATAATACTAACACTGAAGTTCTGCCACTGTCTGTGTTTAAGTGGATGTCATTGAAGACCTTTACAAGAGCAGTCTCAGTGCTGTGGTTTGGACGAAATCCTGACTGGAACACATCGAAACAGTTATTTAAATGCAAGAAGTTACTCAACTGTTGAAATACAACTTTTTCAATGATTTTACCTAGAAATGGCAGGTTTGATATTGGCCTGTAATTGTTCATTACTGAAGCATCTAGATTATTCTTTTTTAAGAGCGGTTTAATGACTGCAGTTTTCAGGGCCTCTGGAAAAATACCTGAGTGAAGAGATGTGTTTACTATATGAAGTAGATCTGAGGCCATGCAAGGAAAAACATCTTTGAAAAATCCTGTTGGAATAATATCAAGGCAGCAGGAGGAGGATTTCAGAAGTTGAATAATGTCCCCTAAGTTTTTACCATTAATCTGATGGAATTGTGTCATGGTGTTTGAATTGATATTAGGTGGACATAGGGACAACACATTTGCTGTACCTGATGCAGAGGCACTGACTGCTTGTCTAATTTTCTGAATTTTGTCAGTGAAGAAGGAGGCAATATCATTGCATAGATAGAAATTCAGAGGCTACTGACACTGGGGGGTTAGTTAGTCTGTCGACGGTAGCAAACAAGGCACGTGCGTTGTTTTTGTTTTTGGTAATGATGTCAGAGAAGAAAGACTGTCGTGAGTTTTTCAATTCCAAATTATAAAGGCCAAGTCTCTCTTTATAGATTTCAAAGTGAACCTGGAGATTTGTTTTTCGCCACCTACGTTCAGCTTTTCGACACTCTCTTTTTTCTGTGTTCACGGTCATGGCCTTTCTCCATGGAGATATTTTCTTGCCAATCACTTCCTTTACCGTAGTTGGAGCAATGGTATCTATAACATTTTTAATTTTTGAATTAAAATGATCTACTAGCTCATTTACTGAGATGTTAGCAGGGGAGAGTGTGGATGAAAAATTATGAGTAAACATTTCCCTAGTATTTTCAGTTAAATATCGCTTTGTGGTTACCTCTTTTTGAACATTTTTGTGAACAGAAATAGAGCTCTCAAAGAAAACACAGGAATGATCAGAGAGTGCAACATCAGTCACCACAACCTTAGAGATATTCAGACCCTTTGAGATAATTAAGTCCAGAGTGTGCCCCTTATTGTGCGTGGGCTCCGCCACATGCTGAGTCAGTCCATAGTTATCAAGAACACAAAACAGTTCTTTAGCCCCTCTGTCCTGGGGGTTGTCAACATGGATGTTAAAATCACCAACAATGACTAGACGGTCAAAGTCAATACACACTATAGACAGCAGTTCAGTAAAATCATCAAAAAAGCTTGCACAGTATTTGGGTGGTCTATAGATATTTAGGAACAGAGCTCGAGAGGAGCATTTCAGCTGAAGGGCCACATATTCAAAAGAAGCAAAGTCCCCATAAGATGTCTTCCTGCATTGAATGGAATCATTGAACAAAATAGCAACTCCACCCCCTTTCTTATGCATTCTTTCCTGACTCATAAAACTAAAGTTGGGAGGGGTTGATTCGATAAGAACAGCTGCACTGTTATTTTGTTCAATCCAAGTTTCCGTTAAAAACATAAAATCGAGATTGTGCTCTGTGATAAAATCATTGATTAAAAATGTTTTTCCTGCCAAAGACCTGACATTTAATAAAGCTAGTTTAAGTTTGTTAAATACACCATCAGTAAAAACATTTGTGACAAGCTGTGGCTGACATGGAATCACTGCTAAATTTGATAACCTCACACAAACGTTTGAGCACTTCCTGTTTCTAAGCTGATTTACCGCTCTTAATCTATTACCTATCAACACAGATATCGGCAAAGCTACTGGCAGGCAGGGCCCCGGCATGTCCTGGAAAGAGTTGAGAGTGCCATATGCCCTTGAGCCTGGACCCAGCACATATCAGAAATAGTTTGTTGCGTTTTGTACACACACATCCTTATCAGGCTTCGGAGACTGCAGATGCTTTCTTGAAGGGAGGGGAGGTGGTTGACGTAGGCACGGTGATGAAGACGGGGGAGATGGTGCGCGTCTCTGCTTCGGTGATTTTGGTGGGCGTTGTGGAAGGGCGGGGGTAAAGGACATGCTGCCAGGGGGGGGAGGTGGTTGACGTAGGCTTGTCTTCGGTGATTTTGGTGGGCGTCGTTGAGGGGCGGGGGTAAAGGACATGCTGCCAACCCTGCATATCGCCTTCATGCGGTCATCGAACTCCAGGGGGGAGGGCGAGGGTGAAAGGGTGAGCGGAGAGTAGAGAGAGCTGGGGGATGAATGAAGAGTATCCTCAAAGGCCTTGACAGGGGGGGGTGACGGGCAGTGGAGACTCCTCCATTTGTGTCATAGGTCTCCCATAATCAGAACATTCCTCAGGCGGATGCAGTGATACTTCTTCAGGGTTTTCTGCGCGATGTGTTGTGTCTTTCTCCTGTTTTGATTCCTCTTGCCGCTTGTCCTTGGCAGAGGGAACAGATTGCTGATGCAGGCAGTTGAATATGTTAGAGATAAACAATTTCACTCCTGACTTGTTCAGGCAAACTCCATCTGCCTTAAAAAGATGTCTGCGATCCCAGAAAAAGTTAAAATTGTCAATAAAATGGACAGAATGGTCACTACAGGCAGCTGAAAGCCACGTGTTCAGTGCAAACAGTCTGCTGAATCTCTCCACTCCTCTTCTGACTGGCGGTAGAGGGCCACTGATGAACACCTCCGCATTTAGAGAGCTGACAGTTTCCAACAGACATTTAAAGTCTTCTTTCAGCACTTCTGACTCTTGTTTCACAACATCATTTGTTCCAATATGTAGTACCACATTCTTCACAGTCGGATGTTCAGCCCCAATATGCAGGATCTTCTCAGCCAAGTCGGAGACCATATCCTTGGGAAAACAGAGTACTTTGGTGTTGTTCTTACTACACAGACCTTTTACATCTCTTACAGCAGAGTCACCCACAATCAGAGTTTCAGGCCCAGTCGTTAGCTTTCCCTCTAGCCTTTTACTTTTGGAGTAGCTATTGGTCCTTACCCTGCTGTGTGAAGAGGACAGGTTATCCAGGTCATCAGAAAGAGATCTCCGGTTCTCGATCAGCGGAGCGTATCTGTTCTGGATTGGCACACTTGGTGGTTTAGGAGGATTGTTTGTAGTTCTCCCTTTAGCAGCTGTCCACGGCTGTTTCCTAGTATGAATAAGGGTTGAAGAGGCACTCTTCCTGGGTGATAACAATGCAGGCCAGCCGGTCGCATCACAGATTTCAGAGCGCTGGGCTCTGCCTGTTATTCGTCCTTAAGAAGTAAAGGGACTCCTGCTTTGGGGCATTTTTGCTTGATTGACAGCCGTCTTCCTGTATCAGTCAGTTGTGGTGATTACTTGCAAATGACGGCGTATCCAAGCCTCTTCAAATTATTTTCTTATTAACACTGACATTACACGTATTTTTATACGCCATTATGTGGATATTAATCAACGTTTTGATACTCCACGGTGGAGTTGGGATTTCATGTGTGCTGAGCTTCATGCATTTAACCCCTTTCCATTCATTAAGCATGATGCATGTAATATAGTATGGAAATCCATTGTCTCCAGAGGATGGTTCCATGCGGTCTAAAGGGAAAATAAAACATACCAACAAGTACCACTACCTACAGCTTTCTCTTCAGTCATCCCAATAAATAAAAAGAAACACATACAAGTACTTATTTATTTACACTTTTAAAATACACAAATACAGTGGCATTACAAATGAGGAGCATAAGTCTTAAGGTGGGAGTGGAAAGAAAGATTTCCCTTGAATCCACAGTAAGAGATATATCCGCTGCGCAGTTCAAAGCCAAACTGGACCGCAGGTGACAAACTAAGAAAAGAAGTGAGACGCAGACATTGAAAAAACCATTATCCCTTGTTTAGTATTCCTGCATCTATCATCGCCAGTGAGACAAACAAGCTCATCCGCCACTTTAGATTGTTTTTCAAGCCCCCATGTGAGCTGTGTAATGAGGCGTTTCCAATCCCTCCGTATTCCGCCTCCATCATCCGGACGTGGCAGACAGAGTAACACCTTATACACGACAACAGAACAAGCATGTACAACCCCACCCCACCCTCCCACAATTACAGCCTACAACCAGTCTATCACATCAAGGATTTTCTACTTTAAAGTCTGCAGGTCTCATTGGTCATTCACAGGTGACCGAAAAAGTCCAACATGGCTTGTACACGCTTTCTTAAGACAGCTCTCCATGACCTCCTTACGTCCTTAAAGCCTCTTAAAAGCACGGCGGTCCATTTTCTACCTGGACTCTCACATTAACTGATCCCAACGCCTTTCATTTTGTTTCATGTCATAAATGAATCATGTGAACTGCATGGCTTCACTTCTGTTGCTTACAGCATGTTTTAGCACAGTCAGAAATTGTTTTGAAAAAGCATGCTTTCACATCATCAGCGATAAAACGGCTCTGCGCTGACATTGTTTTGTTTCTATAAAAGAGAGCGATGTTGCCCGACTACGTGGAAGTGCTACCCTCATGCGTCACCCACCACCCGAAATTGTCTCAAATGATTCAAATTGTTATTGTCGCTAACCTTTCAAAGTGTAACCACTCAGATAATCTGTACGTAGCAGCGCAAGCTAGCAATGGAAGTAACCATAGAAGCAAAACTAGCTAGCCGTTTTTTCCGCAAGGCTCTGCGTAAATCTTCAGTGAGCAAAGACTAAATTGCGCATTGTGTAACGGCGCCTTCAGGCGAGAATACATTATTTGATTCCAACCAAACTTACATTTTTATTTTATTTCACCTCGATTGTTTCTGACCTCTCAAAGAGCAACCAACCAGATAACAGCTGTTGGTAGTCGTGCAATCTAGCAGGAAAAGTAACCATAGTAGCAAAACTAGCTAGCTGTTTTTCCCACAAGGCTCTGCGTCGATCTTCGGTTAGCGAGGATTAGATCGCACATCACGTGAAGGCGGCTTTAAGAGAAGAAATGCTTTCATTCCGACCAAACTCGCAGAAGAGATGTTTTGCTTACGGAAATGCATTTCTGCAATACAATCCAGCAAATGGACAAATAATATCTACCACTGTGTGTCCGTGGTGAGAACGGCCGTGGATTTATCTGCGCTGACGAACAATCATTCCACTGGAAAATACATTTTTTTGGCATCTGTGAGGTTTTGCAAAGAAGAAGGAAGTTGTTACTCCCTGAAATGCTGAGTCCAACGATAATACAGACAGTTTGTCGAGGTCTCGGTAGAAAATGGCCAGAGGTGGACTTGAAAAAATGGAGGCAGACGTTATATGGTGTAAAAAGCAGTTAGGAGGCAGAGGAGTTAGGAACCCTAAAAGAAAATACACCCGACATGTTCTTGTATAACCCTAAGACAGAACCACACAAACACACACAAAGCACATCACTACGCACAGATTAAAAACAACATGTCATCCATTCACAGATTTCCCAAGCAGCACACTGCAGTCACAGCCTGTACACGGACAGAGAGTGTGCTGCGTGTTTTCGGATCAAATACAACACGCACCTGAGGAGGACAAAACTAAAAAAAGACACCTTTGAAACTAGAACATTAAAAAGACCTCTTGTCCCATTTTTAAAACAATGCCTACCTTAACATTTAAACCTCAAACATCTAAACAAAAAAAGACTTGTGGGATTCAAGGAGTCTTTCAGGACAGACATTAGAGTTTAGGCACTGTCCTTTAACAATGCAAAGATGGATCATGTCTCTTCCAGTTTTCAAAAAGTCCTACGATAACAGACCCTTGTGAAGTCTGATCAGTGGAGCTGTTGGAAGAAAAGTTTTAATGCTAAAGAACAAAAAACAAGTAAAACCAAAAGGTTAAAAAAGAAAAGAAAATCCAAGGCTTCAGGGGGGGGGGGGTGCTCACACACAGACACACACCAGACACTCCTGGTTGTGCAGCTCTTCCTCTGTAAAGTGAACAAGAGAGCAGCCAGACTCTTCTGGTGCATTGGATGGTAGTCCCCCTCTGTCAGTTAACAGTCCTGTGTGTATACATGAAAGTGTGTGTGTGTGTGTGTTTGTGTGCTGCAGGCAGGCGGTGCATGTTGAGGCCTCCATGGTGCACAGGTGGATGTTGGGCAGCTTTCACCGTGGAGCTGCAGACTGGAGGCCGCTGGGTGTGACTCGGGAGGACAGAGCCTGCAGGAGAGACGCAACAACATCACTGATCACATGGACCAAATGTTTTAATAACACAAAAGGAATCAACGCCATGCGTTAGTAGTTCAACCGTGTGTGTTGGAGCTATACATTGAATTAGGTTTTTTTAGTAATTAAACACGAGTTTTCTAGCAGTTTTTTGTTTATATCAAATTAATCATTATTTATCGTAGTTATTTCAGTAATTATTTATGCTTTTATTTTGAAGGCGGTGTTGGGAACCTGATTATGTATTAGACACAGGTGTAGGTGGGACTGGCGCACCAGCATATGTTTTTTACCAGGGAAAACATAGGAAAGGCCACAGGGTAAACCATTGTGTTGTATGATTGGGATGAACCTAAATAAATGCACAGAGGATATTCTTGCCTGGACATTGAACATCTCTCGAGTAAGATTGGCTTCCTGGTGCCTCAGCTGCAACTCATTTTGAGTCAATCTTTTGTTGTATTTCTTTAGTATGCCGCTACAGTATGTGGACAGATTAAAGCTCATGTTAGAATTTGACCGGCTGTTACACTGTTTGACCTCCAGGGGGAGCACTTTGTCTTCAAGAACATGGGACCTAATGGAGACAAAAAAACACATCCATGCTGGATGGAAAAAAACAACTCCCAGAAGAAAAAAATCGTAATTGTTCTCACTGCTGCTGCTCGGGGCAAAAACGTCTGCACATACTCCTTTGTTCTCTTGTTATATACGTTTCCTTTTTTGTTCATTTGCTAAACAATTCATCACAGATGATCAGTTTCACATGGAAAGTCTAGTGAAGCTAAAAGGTAGTTTACTAAAGTATCCAGCTGGAATCAATAAATCAAATCAAATCAAATCAGGTTATAACAGTGTGTTCTTCTCCTTCCTCACTCAGAAAGGCAGCCTTTATGCACACTACCACAGTAGTTGATCAATATGAGAGGCAGCTACTGAAATCCATATTGATTGGGAATACACCAAAGCTACCGCTGCAGGACTGAAAAATGGCTTTCAACTCAGAACTTTGCTGCTCCAATGCGCTAACAAAGTTTGGTATGTCAGACCTATTGAGGTTTTCCTACGTTGCGTAACCAAGCACTGTGTGTGTGTTACCTGTGAGGACATGCGGGACGCGTCCTGGCGTCCCGTCAGGTCTGAGGAGGAGATGTTGACTGGTGCTCCGCGATGAAGACGCATGCTCACCTTCCTCTCCTTCTCTAAACCTGAGACACAACGACAAGTCAAATAAATACGATGATGGAAAGGCCCCCTCAAACTCAAAGTTACTGGAAGATGAACTGTCATTCCTTTGGTTTAAAGAGTGTGTGTACTGACCTGTGTGTGAGGCGGGGTTGAGTGGGGAGGGGGCTGCGACCTCCTGTGTTGCCCTGGTTCTGCTTGAGGCTGAGGCCATGCCCCGGGCCCCCGGGTTCCTGCTGTGCCTCAGACGCTCCTCACGCTCCCGCCGCTCCCTCTCTGCATCCTCCACCGCCCGGTTGGCCCCCTAACACACACACAGTCGTTAACATGAATACCCTCTTTCCGAATCCAACAACTTGGTGAAAACTGAATTCGGCACTTGCCCAAACACGGTGACAATGGTACTTGTATTCTGAGCTCTGAATAAAAATGAAATGGTCCAGGCCTGTCACATGATCACATGTTTCCATGCATGGTACAACTCTACACAACTCTTTATCGGTTTTCCATTTGCAAAAGTTGTGGATAGTATCTTGAACTCATTTTATTACCATGTGGGCACTAGAAGGTGGAGTTAAAACCCTCCAGACCACTGATTGGTCCGAGAGGAACATCCCCAACCCGACAATTGACTATGTGCGTTTATGTGTATATGTCGTGTTGAAGGGATTCAGCGAGTGTCCTAAAAGCTGTTAGTATCATCATCTTCCCTTTGAATGTGTCGGTGTTTATTATATCTTTCACGTGTTAAACCAATGTTTAGACGGAGGAAATAAATGTGTTGGGACCGTTTTGTATTTAGGGTTGGAGTCGTATATTCTATTCTATTCTTAGCTTGTAAATGTTTCTGTATAATACAAGTAATATATATTGTAAATACTTTGTTTAGTGTGTGGGAGCCTATTCTAAAACGTTATTGTTCATTGGGGTGTCCCATTTCACATATCTCCATTCTGTTTCATGTTGCACTTGTTTTTTTAATAAATACTCTTTATTGAGTTTCACACATTTAACACAAAACACAGAACAATGGGCACTTGTATTTTTAAACAGTTTGTGAAGTAAATTCATCAGATTGAATTTCTAGCAGCAGTTCTATCGTAACTTGCTGATTGTCCCGCCTACACTGATGTGTTCTATCCACAGGGGAAACTAAATAGAAAAAAGGTAGCCGTACCATGGTCAGGATAACACTCATGTTACTATCTAGTGTACAAGGTACTTTGCCTTCAAGGCTTAATGTAAATTAACCTGGGCTCAATAATAACAATAATGCAACTAAATACAGCTTCATTACTGAGTGAAGTGAATCTGCTTAGCAACTTACAAATTTGAGCATGTTCCAGTCGAAGACGTAGTCGTAGGAGAAGCCCTGTCGGTGGAACAGGTTCCTGAACAGCTGGCGGAGGTACGAGTAGTCGGGCTTGTCGTCGAAACGCAACGAGCGGCAGAAGTTCAAGTAGGTGGCGAACTCCGCTGTGGGGGGGAAAGGAGAAATGAGGGTTTGGATCAACATTCGAACATTATCGTTTTTCCTGTACGTTTTTGCGTTATTGCTTTACAGGAAAGAGTACAGAGCAGGGGTGTCAAACATACGGCCCGCGGGGCAAAAGGTTATAATTACAATGTGCAATATAATGTCAGTCAGCAGCGTCAGTACAAAAGAGTTTGGTGGAACCCTATTGTTCCTGCACTGCATTTTGTATCTATACATGTTATACATTTACAAGGCATGGGGGTAGATGAACCTGATTAGCTCCCACTTTAGTTTGTATGGTGGTGTGTCAGGATTACTACACAGATGTGGAAATTAATGTAAAAGAACTTCTAGATCTTGACAAGTTGTTTTGATCATAAAGTAAATAACTATATTGTTCAGTTCCAGATACCGGTGACTAAATGTTTTTGTAGATACACTGTGATCTGTAAGTAATGCACATGTGGGCACAACATTGTTGAACTTGTTTTTCTTTTCAGGTTGTTCATAATGTTTTGTAAAAAGATAGTTAATTAAATGTGAACATTTTGAAGTTGTTGTTATTTATAGGTTATTATGCTATGATTTGACTGGTTCGGCCCACATCCGGAGATCACATTTGGCGGTATTAGGCCCCTGAACTAAAATAAGATTGACCCCCCTGGTATAGAGGGCGGGGGTGTGACATGTGGCAGAGAGTTCAGCTCAGAGTCAGACCAGGACCAGTACCTGCAGCCGCTCCCCCCCCCCCACAAGAGGCCAGATTCTTAAGAACTCTTAACAAGTAGAGGTGCAGACTGAACGTACATGGGTATCCTTTGCAGAGGACCTCGATGGGCGTGGACATCTTCTTCTCACTGATGCGTTCGTACTTCTGCCTCTTGGTGGCAGCCTTGAGGCCCTGCCAGGGCAGGGAGCCCAGGTTGAAGTACATGAGGACGTAGCCCAGAGACTCCAGGTCGTCCCGCCTGGACTGCTCTGTGGACACAGAGGACAGAGGGACATCAGACGGACAAATCACCAGAACCAGGGACAAATCTGTCCTACGTAGTGTCGTCACCTACTTATTTTAGGAACACATACAGTTGTTTAAAGTCTACATATAAAATAAGTAAGTGAGTAAAAAAGGTAACTAAGTAAGGTAAGTAAGGTAAGTAAGGTAAGTAAGCAAGCAGGAAAATAAGTTAAAAAAAGTATACTAAAGTAATTAAGTAAAAAGTAAGTAAGTAGGTTAGTAAATAAGTAAGGAAGTACATAAATGAATCAGTTTAAAAAGTAATTAAAAAAAGTAAATAAGTAAGTCGGCAAGTACGGAACAAGCAAGTTGGTAAGTAGAAAAAGTAAGTTAGTAAATGAGTAAAAAAGGTAGGCAAGTAAGTAGGTTAGTAAATCATCAAGGAAGTACATCAGTAAGTAAGTCAAAAAAGTGAATAAGTAAATAAGTACATAAGCAGGTAAGGAAGGAAGTAAGTTGGTAAGAAAAAAAAAGTTACTAGGTCAAAAGGAAGTTAGTAAAAAAGTAAGTATAAAAGGAAGTAAGTTAGTAAATGAGTTAGAGAAAAAAGTAAGTTAGTACGTAAAAGAAACCCTTGGAATCATGAATGTTGAGGGGTCAGAGGTCGGTGTTTGGTGGACTGCTCTTACCGATGCCCAGGTGGGTGTTGATGGAGGCGTAGCGGGCGGTGCCGGTCAGGTTCTTGTTCTCGCGGTACGGGATGTGCTGGTGCGTTCGGGCGTCGCGGTACTTCTTGGCCAGGCCGAAGTCGATGATGTACACCAGGTTGCCCTTCTTGCCCAGCCCCATCAGGAAGTTGTCTGGCTTCACGTCTCGGTGGATGAAGTTCTTGGAGTGGATGTATTCGATGCGGCTGATCTAGAGGGAGAATAACAATAATACAATAAAATAAGAATATGACTGGATGCCAGAGAAGCCTTCAATACATGATCTCTACACAAAACACACCACAGATATTTCCTGTTGAGTAACAGCATTTCTTAAGATTGCTAAAAATACAACACATCTACTTAGCTTCAGTCTTTCACCAGTGGAGTAATTACTGACATATTTCATGTCGTAAAACAAAAAGTGAAAAGATCGTAAGCTTGTGTTAACCAAAGACCTTATTTCAGGCAACTCACAAAACGTAACTTCAGGACAAGGGAACTTGTAAAAATGCTAATTAATATCCGGTTTTCAGGACTCATTCCCGCACCACTCTACAGCTGGTGCCTCCCAGTCATCTTCTCTCTTACCATCTGGTCGGCCAGCAGCAGGACTGTCTTCAGGCTGAACTTCCGAGAGCAGAAGTTGAACAGATCCTCCAGGCTGGGCCCCAGCAGCTCCATCACCATCACGTTGTAGTCCCCCTCGGCCCCGCACCACTTGATCGTTGGGATGCCCACTGAGGAAAGGAGAGGGGGGAATATTGAGTGCCATGTTAGTAAATGTTCTGGTAAATTGAATAACTACAGATTTGGATTAAGTATAACTTCTCACTGGTTTGATTCTGTAAAACTGAAGTAGAGACTGAACAATTATTCAGAATTTTGTCTAAATCACAATATTGAGTAATGCAAAATCCCATTCACAGGAGATGCAGGGTTAGGGTATACGTTTGTATTTGTTATAGGCAAAATATGTGCCAAAATATTGTTTAGCCCTAAACTGAATACTAACCGACAAAGGAAAAGCGTAGGTACTGTTGGGGAATCATTTGCCCTGCATGTCCTCCTTCGCCCTCTGACGCAGCTGACCAACCTTGAGCAGCCGTTATCTCCCATGCCCTAGCATATTGTTGTTGTTACCAGTTTATGACTGGGCAACTCTCTGTCAGAGATAGTTATTGTTGTGGGACACCTGGAACACATCCTTCTCGGGGTGTAGATGACCCCGAGCCATAACAGACAACTAAAGTTGATTCAGTGTCCTCAGCTGTTTAGTCTATCTATTGAAGAATGTTGATTATTACACTCTGAACTAGTTCAAACCTGGAGCTACAGGAGGGCTCTTCAGAATTGATTGTGGCATCTCTACCGTGTGGTCAACTCGTGGCCCGTGACATGTCTTGTGAATTCTCCGGCCGAAGCTCCAAATAAACCATCAGTGTTTGCCATCAAAGCTCCAGCTCTCTATCGTGTCTCTCTCTGAGTCCCATTGCTTCAGAGGTTTCCCCCACAGGTACCACCATAAAAGGTCAGAGTTTATCAAATAAACTAAAAATATGCCTCAAGCGGTTCTAGGAGCTCAGAGAATACTAACCACTTCATCCAATAAATCCTGTAGTATTTAATATTTGTTGTCACCCATGGGCATAAGTGCATTGTAATCATTTAGTTGGTGGTGGGTTTAATGCTACTATAGAGAATACATGTGGATGTGCAAACACACATCAAAGAGGCCATCTGCTTTAGTAGTAGCTGGTGACTGGCGGCCGTGATGAAGAGGCCATCTGGCATTTCCTTCTATAGGCACACCGCAGGAAAAAGCTGACACAAACACACACGAGCACGGACGCACTATTTATATACATCTGCTGTCTGGGTCAGCCAGCAGGCCTCAAACATCTCGCCCCGCTAGACAGAAATACAGATGCATGTGTGCAGAGTGCTGACAGAGACAGAACATCTCTCACACACCAGGGGCCTCATTTAGAAAGCCTTGCGTAGGATTCACGTGGGAAGGTGGCTTACGTAGGACAAAGCAAATAAATACGCACACAAATATTCCGATTTATAAAACACTGCGCACGCACGTCCTACGCCGGTTTCCCTTTATAAATCACAATCAACTCGTAATGCGGCGCAGCTTTTGCGGGCTTCACGTAACGCCCATATTTGCCTATAAATAGTCAAAGAAACGGCCCGTATTAATATTCATTCAGACTGACTGCATGAAGAAGATCGCAGGACATGACGACAGAACAGTTAAAAAAGATTTTGGTTCTTTTGGGAAGGTGGAGATAAATCATATTGTTTGGTGGATGCAGTTTGAACCAGAGTAGCAGCATGGAGGTCGGATCGTCACCAAAATAAATAAATAAGTGGTCCGAAAAAAGTTAATGACAAAAAACACATAACCTTCCTCAGGCAGTGTGTCAGTGTGTTTGTACCGGGGACAGGAGACCCCCCCCTTGATGAGAAACTGTAAGAAATGATCGGGGGATCCCTGCGGAGTGGAGTCATGACGACTGGATCTGAATTATTTTTTTGTATTTGGTGGTTTGTGTTCCAGCTGTATGGGCTTAGATACGTCTCATCATTATTTGTGTGAACAGAAAAAAGATTTGTGTGTAAATATGTGATTTGTAAATGTAAAGCACCATCCACAAATGCATTTAAAAGATTTGCAAACTCACAAATACATTTGCAAATGTAAAACGGATCTGCAAATACGCAAAATATTTTTACAAATAAAAAAAAGATCTTTGAATATCTCTTTAACATTTACAACTTTCGATCAGGCATTTGTGAATCCATTTTGTATTTGTCGACCAAAAATACGCTTGTGGATCTCAACTCTCTGCTCGCAGATCGTCTTTTTACACACAGAGTTTTGAGACAAACTTTCCGCCGGTCTCGGCTAAAATCTACTCGTGTCACTCGGTTATTTTCGGAAAACACGTGATGGCCGGCTGACGACGACATTTCCGCATGGTTTTCAAAGTAAGAGCATGATGGTTTTGTATTATAATGAACAGCGGAACGTTAGATGCATTCTTCATCACCATCATCATCATCATGTTATACAGTAGTGATACAGTTAGTTTGTGTTAGTTTATTGGTTCAATACAGCATATATCGAGCACATTCGTATGCATTGATGTTGAAGTACAGGCTATACGCCACTTTCGGGTCCCGGGGGAGCAGCTGGCAGCGAAGCAGCCCAGAGGAAACTCTTTCTTCATTGTTTTTTGTGTATTCAGTCAAAGTTACAAAGCACTTCACATCTTATTAATCGGCCTAGTTTTACCTTACCAGTGCAGTGGTAAAGTAATCTGTAGAAAAACACCGTATTTAGGTCAGCCTTCATAGTAAGGCTACATTAAATGTTATAATATTCATTGTGTCCTTTCTACTGTATATGCATATATTCCTGTCTATTGCTTTCATTTGTATTTCATGTTATTATGTTTATACTTGTTTCCACACATTTCACAATTTGGGATGAATGAAGTATCTGTCTGTCTGTCTATCTGTCTATCTAAATGCATTTGTGGATGGTCTTTTACATTTACAAATCACATATTTACACACAAATTATTTTTATGTTCACACAAATAATGATGAGACATATCTAAGCCCATACAGCTGTCGATCAGCTGTGCGCAGCGTCTCCACTGCAGCCTGTGCGTCTCAACCCCCCCGCAGCAACTCTATATCCACCCGTTAAAGGAAATAAAACGTATGTGTTGTGTTATATTAGCTGTACAATTGACCACATATGGTGTTCTTAGTTTCCATACCTCCTGTGTTTTACGAGCCACTTATCAAGTCTTGGCGAACGACATAAAACATGATTAAGCATGATAGTATAAACCATGCTCGTATAATAATAATAATAATAGATTAATTTTGTTAGCGCTTTTACAGGTGCTCAAAGACGCTTTACAGATATAGTGAAAAGAAAAGAACAACAAATACATATATATAGTTAAAGTACAATAATAATAAATAATACAACCTATAGAAATGCAAAACGCCGTCAGTTTAAAGTAATTCTATCCTTCTGCTTACCGCTTCATTTATGAGAATACATTTCTTAACAAGAGAACATAATCGAGGGGTGATCAATAACATTTCCGTATTTATTTATTTCTCCAAGTTATGTTTTTGTGTGCACTGAGGAGTCTCAATTTGTTAAATCATTTTAAGATTGGCTTTAATCCATTTGTGAAAATGAATTCTTCATATGTGATACATGAGAGGTAACATTTTATTTATGGTATTATTTTCACATATTTCTCTCCATTCTTCCTTCTGCCAACGGTGTGGCAGTTTCTCGTCTCTCCCATTTTTGTGCGTACGCATGGGTCAGAGTGTGCGTGGAGGACCGCACATTTTCCCGTCAAGTTTGTTTTTTATAAATCGCAAACATTGCGTAGAAACTGGCGTACGACATCTTTTGAGCGTACGCACCGTTTATAAATGAGGCCCCAGGTCAGGACCACCGTTTGTTAGAAAGACACACACTACTGACGAGAGGAGGAACATTCAGTGAGGTCAAACTTGTTTCAAAAGAAGCACACCACTGTTTTAGAAGTAGAACAGAAGGCAATATGGCCCAAATATGAGATCCCAATACAAGACATTTCATATCTTGATACCACATATATAAGGATAGAGGTCGTTTTAGATCTAGATAACGATGTATAAATGGATATTGGTCATTTCAATATATATTAGAAAAAGGTTATTTCATATGTACATACTGATATATCAGCATAAAGGTCATTTCATACCTTTATATATCAAGAGATAATTCATTTCAAATATATTTAACAATATATATCCGGATATAGGTCATTTCATATCTATATATCAGGAAAAGGGTCATTTCATATGTCCTGGCCGTTTCTCAATGTCGAGTACGCTTGCTTGGTAGCAAACAGTACCAGCTTCCTATTTGATTTTATTTAGTGACTTTAAAAACTATTTTTGTTACCATGGTGAACTCATCTGCTATTAGTTTATACATATATATATATAACATGTGCATACTTAGTTATTGCTATTTTTTGTATGCAAGTCTATTCTCTTTACTTTATCTGCACTATACTTCTGCTGTTGTAATGTACATTTCCCCGTTGCAGGACAAAAAAAGGAATTCTGAGTCTGATTCCGACTTCGGTACATTATGTGTTGACAAGAGAAAAAACTAGTGTCAGAAAGTGTGTGTGGGTGCGTTAGAGTGACCCGTACCTCCACCCTGCATCATCTTGTAGATCTTGCTCTCTATGTGGAGCTGGGGGTGTTTGGTCTTCACACATTCCAGCTTGATGGCAACCTCCTCTGCCACGGAGATATCAGTTCCTGCAGAGAGAGAGAGAGACAGAGAGGTGAGACAGAGAGACAGACAGAGAGACAGAGAGGTGAGCAGCATGGACACACAGCATGCGGCCTCAACAAAGTGTGACGTTTACAGACAGGACGTTGATGTATGTAATGTAACAGAATATCATCCGTAAATCAAACAAGTAATGCAGTCAGGTCAGTGTGCGTTTCATGTCTCAGTGTTTCCCCTCCCATTGTCTTGGGGGGGCGCTGCGCCACCCCAACGGAACCCCGCGCCCCCCCTGAAATTCAAGGTGTTTTTTTTTAAATATATATATAAATATAGCGCCAAATCGAAATTGAAATAATCTATCTACGGTCACTTTTCACATTGAACATGTGCTCTTTTATTAAATAAACTAAACGCTTATGTTATTTATCCAATGGATGTGCATGTTTCAGTGTCCACTGCATTGCTTTGCACGTTCACATTCTGTCCTCTGCTCTGTTTCTGAAGGGCGGGGCTCCGCTCCACACACACACACATACGAATGCACACACTCACAATCAGAGACAAGAGCGGAGGAAAGGCCCGCCCTGGCAGCACCCCCCCCAAGCAGTAAACCTAGGGGAAACACTGTGTCTTTACATCACGTTTCATCAAATCCAGCAAAGTAAAGATGATAAGGATTATTATTATTATTATTAGTACCACAGTCCTGCACATATCAGTTGAGGCACACAATACTTCTATTCCACTCCCTCAGTATCCACAACAGTAGGTTAAAGATCATTTCAGTTCAAAGCTCCTTCAGACTGGAATCATTTACCACCAAATATACGAGACTTCACTTATTTTCAAATGGTTAACAATGCTTCTTTTTGTTGCCGTTAACTGTACATGTTATTGATGAATTCACAAGTGCAAAACACTATGTTTGTATTTGTTTATAGCCTCTCCGTAGTGGTTATGTCTGAATTTCTATCTTTAATATTTGTGTTGTGATTGAAGTAGTCTTGTCTTGTATTGTGACGTGATTGAGTTTCTGGTTACTGTCTTGCTGTTTGGGGAGGTATATGGGGGAGGTATATGAGGACCTCCTTGAAGACATGATGGCTCATCTCAAGGGGTTTATCCTAAATTATTACATTTATGGAAATAAGACAGTCAGTTTTATCCCAAAGGCCATAAGACTGCTAAACTCCTGAGCGTGCACTATTTGTATAGGGGTTGTCTGAGGACCCTGTGACTGTAGCCGTGTATACGACACATCAAAACCTTTGAACCTTTACAGTGAGCACATCAGCTTCTGGTCAGTGTCTCATAAGCAGACTCCATATCAGAGGCTATGAACACAGCAGGCCAGCCAACAGTGAGCACTTCATGTACCCTGCTCTTCTTTCAGGGGTCTATCATTAGATCTCCACTCAGACAAGAGGATTTGCCCATGAGACCACTCTCTGCTGCTCCGTGTGATCTGACCAACCACATGAAATAAATACTAAATATGTCAATCTAGAAAAGGGGAGTCCAACCTCTTTTCACTGAGGGCCACATACAGACAAACATACTGAGGGCGGGGCACCTCACTAGAGGTGAGGGATATTGTCTCACAAGTGAAGTTAGATAAATCAATCAAATGTAGGTCAATGATGCTTGATGCTTGATACTTGAATATGCTTTCATTCTTTCAAACAGAAGCCTCAGATTGATTATAATAAGGGGGAATATGAAGGGTATATTTCAAGCTTGGTATGTAAATAAGTTGTTTTTTGTATCGATTAAGATTTGTTTAAAAATATTCTCAGCTATAATTGGGCTTATTAACACTGCAATATAGTTTTACATATTTAAGAAGTACAATTTTAAGACAAGCACAAGTGTCAGGTGTGGGCCGTATTCCATTTCACTTCTAGAATTAGATGCGGGCCAATTAAAAACAGACCAGGGGCCGCAGTTGGCCCCTGGGCCTTAGTTTGAACACCCCTGAGCTGAAGCAAACCAGTGCTTCAGCTTTTTTTGTCTAAATGACAGTTGTAGAGTCCAGTTGTAGAGTCCAGTTGTAGAGTCCAGTTGTAGAGTCCAGTTGTAGAGTCCAGTTGTAGAGTCCAGTTCCTGCCAGAGAAACCCAGCAGCTGGAAAGCAGGTTACGTAATCCCTTTTACGGCTAACAGCAGCACCAATGGAGCATTATTGATTTCCCTGTATGAGGTCATCTGGGCAGGGCACATGGCCTCAGGCTTTGCATGCGAGGCTGTGCAGCATGAGAGAGGTGCTGCAGTGATCCTGGGGAACAAACGAACCACATTGATCTGTTGCATTCTGGGTAATTACTTTAAAGGGTCGGTACCGCTATAGTTGAATGGATTACTCTCGGTTTCACTACATAAGTGAGAAGAGTGGGATGTCAATAGATGGAAAACACCCAAGTGGATACTCATTTACATCAAAGTTGTTAAATAAAGGTTATTATTAAACGGCAAAAACAGGAAAATATGTATTAATGGGGTTACTTATGATGACCGACCATTGTGCGCCATTTATGTAGTGATGCAGGACCTGCACACTTTTCCTTTGATCTAAAAATATATGTATATATATATATATCACAACTTTTTGTATAAATGGACTGCTGAATTAAAACGTGTGTGGTGTAATTAATAAAAATATATCAATGTAATTTGCTATTTAAGTTTATGGAAATAAATTGACTTTGCTCCTGGTGGTTGTATCCCTCCATCAACCAGTTATGGTATAGTTTACATTCATTTGTGTTATCACTTGATCATTGTATCCTTTTAGATATTTATGTGTGGAAAACAGCTTATGAATTCCTGAGATATGACCAAAAACGTGCTTAATGAGGTCACAGTGACCTTGACCACTATAATCTAATCAGTTCTACCCTGCATAAAAATTGATAGATAAATATATAACGGAAACAACCGTTACTAGCAACCCTACAATTAATGTGAGGAGTGTAAAATGATATTTAATATATGTGTAGCACAGAGTAACAGGGAAACCAGGGCTGCAGTCCAATAGTCCATTTAGCTTAGGAACCTTCCTAACCGAGTGAAATGACCCGGAAGTACCTCAGTGGCAGCCATGATAAGAGCTGTTCCAATTCTCTAGATCAGGGGTCAGCAACCCGCGGCTCGAGAGCCCTTGAGCTTAGACAAAAATAAGGAAATAAAATAAAAGTATTTGTAGGACTATTTATATTTTGTTGCACGGTTGAATGCCTGTCAGCCTTCCATCTGTGCACAAACTTATCTCGTGCCCTTATTGGTCATGTGCGCGTTCGTGTGTGTTGGAGGAGGGGCTCTGTAAGGAAGACTGAAGGAAGAGGCAGATTTTTTCGGGTTGTGTATTTTCAAAGTCTAGCGCACTCGAGCTGGTTTCTCCAAAATTACATACCCCACCTTTAACTCTTTTTAGGGTGCAGCTATATGTTTTATTTATTTCAAAGTGGGCCCATTTTAATTATATATTTTTTCCTTCAAATGTGCAGAGGACTCCCCAAGTGCTGCGTTTAATTTATTTTAAAGTAGGCCTGTGTATTATTTTTAATTCTCCTTATAGGAGTTCTTTGTTTCTTATTAGAGGTTAACAGTTTTATATAATGTAATGCGGCTCCAGACACAAATCTTTTGGGGAAAAGGGATCAAAATGACTCTTTTGGTCAAAAAGGTTGCAGACCCCTGCTCTAGATGATAGGAAAGGAGGTTTGAAACTTCCTTTATAACCTCCTTTATCTTAGGAACCACTGTACCTCCCTTTATGAAAGGAGAGGAGAAAATGCTGCCCCACAATGCCTTGCAGTCGCAGCATTTGCCGTCACACAACATTCGGCCGTTCACGGAAACAACCGATTATGACCGAGGAATGATATCATGAAAGTTACGGTGCTTATTAAGCTTTTTAAAACGTATGTGGTAAGTTGCCAAAGTGCTTTGTTTTGAACGTTCATCAGTATTATAATCAAAAAGAGAAATATGAACGTTAGTTTTTACTGAAATGATCAAATAAAGTCAACATTTCACAGTCTTTACTGAGCTGTGTGGGGTTTGTTCAACTTTTAAAAGATGTTTGAATGGTGATATACACAGTGATAGATGTTAAGGACTAACGTTTATAATAAATACATTTGTATTGATTTTAAGATCTTTTCATACAATCATACGTATTGGGATCATTTGTATTAATGTGGACCGGAGGGAGAGGGTGACGAGCATAAGTTTCACTTTCCTTTTTTATTTCAATTCCAACTTTGGTCATGAAGAATATGTTTCTCTGTTGTCCCCGTTCATAAAGCATAAAACAACAGCATCAGAGCACGGTGCAGAGTCTCTAGATGAGTTTACAGTAGTCCCTCGTTCTTATTAAACATCCATGTTGTAGTCCGCTGTATAGAAAACTGTAGTTTCCATAGTTTCCCCACAGCAGCAGACGCACATTTATGACGTCTGCTGGCGCATCATAAACACGTCGGATAGTGAAAGAGCAGTCGGAGTCTCTAAAGTACCGCAGTCTCTTCTCCTAAATCCTTTTGAATTCTCCTATCCACTATCCCTTAACCCCGTGACGTTTCACTCAGAGGTCAAGGAATAGTGGATAGGAAAAGACGATAGGAGCTGATTTTTGGACTATTCGACTGCAACCCAGGGCTGTTCTACTCCATTTCAGTTGCAGCACAACAGAAAGACTTAACTCGCTTGTTGTTCCACTTATGTGTAAGGTTGGGAACCGAAACTCGGTTCCAGATGAGAACCGATAAGAGAATGCCGGGTACCGGGTACCCATACAAAATACACAATTTCGGTTCTGCTTAACGGTTCCTAAACGCGGTAGACCCTGTATTCCACCGGGTCCGTCTGCGCCGCTGTAAAAATGTTAGTTAAAGCTTAAAAGAATAAAGATATTTTTGTTATCTAAACGTTTGACCTCTTTCTTTTACAATTTTGGAATCGAAACAGGGAATCGATAAGAACCGGAATCGATAAGCAGAACCGGAATCGGAATCGATACATTTCAA